AGAGAGAAAAAGAGAGAAAGTCATTCTTAAAAAAAAGATACAAGGCACAGATATTAGGAAGATCGGAAAAACTTACCCTCAGGGCGAGGCTGGCTATGCTCGACAACAGGGCGGCATTATTGAACGTCGCTAGGGTCATGCCCCCCGCATTAGAACAGAGGAGACCCAAGGAGGGGACCACATCCTTCGTGTTCACCAGCAGATTAGGTCCATGGGGATCACGATGGTACAAGAAGACCCCTCCAACCTCACATCCACCTGAGTGAATCCTTTATTGAACCTCCGCACCTCCTCGGGATCAACATCAGAACTGGTTTCATAACCGTCCTCGACAATACCCTTTGATCTCTCTTCGGCCAGTGAAGGAACGTCGACTGGCCCCAAGGATGACGATTCATTTCTTAGCACGGCGTCCATAGCTTCAGATGGCCCTCTAATTTTAACCGCGACCTCGGGAAAAGGAATATCTTCCATGACCCCCGTAGATAGCGAAGTTACAGTCGATAGATTCACATCACCCTCCGACACAACAACGGTCAGCTCACGGTCGCCCCTTATAGATTTCGTAGCTCTAACTGCCCCATCGCCGACATCCACCCTCCCCCTCTTCAGAGGAACTGAGTCCTCATTTATTGGTGATGACTCATCTATCAAATGTAGCACGACCAGGACCGGAGTCTCTCTTGTTGGGGCCGCCGACGATCGACTAGGTCTGCATAATACCAGAGGCTGAGAAGAAGTGGTCGGCTGAGCAGACTGGTTCGCAATCGTAGCATGGGAAGATCCCGTCGCGACACTCGTCTGGCAGAACACAAGTGTAGGAGCCCTCGTCCTCCTCGAAGCTCTTCGACCTAATGATAAAAGCAAGGTTAACTCGACCCCCAAGATACATAAAAAAAGGAACGACCTAAAGGCCGAAGCAACAAAAATTCAAACAAGCAACTCACCAGTCGCTGAGGGCTTGGGACCAAATTTCTTGTGGAAATACGACCATTCACGAATCCCCACCGTATGGGGCAAGGCCTGACTAACCAGTTGTGAGTGTCTGCAACCAATGGAGAAGGCTCTTTCTCGGTTGAACAAAAAAAGTGTAGAATGATTACGCTACTACCGAAATAAGCGAAATGAACATTTGGTGGGGGTACTTACGGGCATAATTCCACACTTCGGGAAATAAATTAGTATTTGTCACTACACCATCGGTCTTGACGTAGAAAAATTAAACCAGAACCGATGATTGGCCTTATCGTCCATCTTCACTACCAAACTCTTGCTTCTGCGGTGACGAAGGTGTAACATCGTCCCCCTATGGAAATTGGGCGCGTAGAGATGCATTAGGTGGCGAACAGAGATCCCCCAGCTGGCCAATTTTGCATACTTTGTCAACATAAGGATGAGCTTATAAATGTAAGGGGAATTTTGGGCCGGGCAGACATTGGTATAGCGGCAGAATTCATTTGCCAATGAGGGAAGGGGAAAAGAATAGCCCAAAAGGAACGAATACGCGTAGAATGCGCAATATCTAGGGCGATAAAGTTGTACCACATTATGGACGGCCGGGACCAGGTCAATGTGGGTCGGGATTTTGAACTTGGCCCTAAAATCAGTAAGGACAGCCACGTCCATTTCAGATTCGACGGGCTCGGGATCGTCCTCGGGCCGCTTTGAGAAGTCTGACCTAGCCTTTTCTTTGCGAGGGATTATTTTATCTACAATAGGGAAGCTCTCATCCTCTACTACAATGGCAGCCCCATTGTCATCAGGACGCATGCTCACTGCCAATGGAACGGGATCAGAGGTCCCTCCAGAATTGGAAGATGCATTAACTATCTTTGGTTGTTTATATACGAAGGAATTACAAATACAGAGAAGGTAAGAGTAGCAGAAATTGCTAAAATAAGGGAAAGCTAGGATATAAAGGTGGAAATAACGAAATCAAGAACACTGGAGAAAAAGAGGAATATAGAGGTTCGAATGCTTGGAAACACAAAGGATCAAGTAAAGGGTTTTCTATCCCTATTTATAAGAAATCCACGCACCTTAATCGAAAATGCCAATCGTCACTGCGCAAATATCGAAACGGCAGAGGCGCAAGAAACGACGTAACGCATCGGAAATATGCGTAATAATGAAGCATGATGTCATGACGTCATTCTGAACCGACATAACGGTAAGTTATGGCTCACAAAGCTCCACGTTATCACCTCGCCATGAGCGTTACTACTCGACCTGCCCGCCTAAATCTCACCACTACGACTAGTGAAGTCCGCTTATCGAGGTCATTTGAGAAACGACCTCGATAAGCAGAGGGACTAATTGTATGGGTCAAAACTAACTTCGGCATGAAGAGGCATTATTAATTTAGCCGAGGTCGACTAACGATTGATGGATTCACCGCCGAGCAGTTAATCATGGCCGAAGTCGAATGCCAAGAACAACAGTAACTGCTAGTTTTGTAATAGGATCTTTAGGAGAATATTCCCCTGAATATTAGTTCTACTCATACTTTTAGAGTTGAGGGACATGTCCCATATAAATAGGAAGAGAGATAAGGTAAAAGACATGTATTATGTATTCTGATAAGACCTCTCTTGAAAAGCAAACTCTCTAGATAAATACAAACACCACCTTTCTAAAGAGATTTGTTTTATTGATTATTCTATATTTTTCACATCAACTCCGAGAAAGTCTCAAATATTCTCATAGTTATTTGCCATACATCATTGTCAGAAAGAAGAATCATTCATCTCATTCGATATTGGGTGAATCATCCTCCTTATTTACATTTATTGTTATTTAATGCTTGTTATTCTCATTTCATTATTGACCTTCAACATTTAATACACATTGCATTAAATCTATTCCGACATTACCCTACATATTCCACGTAAATCGATTTAAAATTTGAGGTTATTGTCTTTAACTAGAATTAACCCCTTACCTTTTTAAATTAATTAGTTGAACCAAAGGTTCATATTTTTTTGTCAAACAATTACCTCTTCAAATGTCACAGTCCCTGCTACATGATTAACTTTTGAAGTTAATAAAATCAAGTACGATTTCTTAACAAAAAAAAAAAGAAAAAAAATGGAAGGCTAGCTATCTCACAGTTACTCTATCCATGATTTAACACCACTATATGTGAAGAACAAACAAAATAAATAGAGAGGGAAAATAACTAAGGAAATGGACATCCACTTTCATGCTTAAGTGACAACTGTGATGTGATGGTTTAAGTTGTACGCTGTTTATGTAAAAGCTAAAAATAATCTCAGTATTCAGCACACACCTTTGTGACTGGGAACTACTCAACTTTTTCACCAAGTCCAAACCTTTTCTTCACATGAAAAATTAATTGGGATAGTGCATTACATAAAGCGATCAACAACAAGAAGGAAAAATAATGGTTAATTGAAAATTTTGTTCAATTCTTCTGGTGTAATTTTCATGAAAAGCAGAAAAGTATTTCTTTTCCAGTTTTAGATTTAAAAATTCTGCATAAAATCTTCTTAACTAAAACTTTAAAACAAAGGAGCTCAACTTTTATGCTATCCTATTTCTATTATTTTCTTAATAATCATCGTAATGTTCTATTTATTTAATAAAAAATAAAAGTAGCAGATTGATACAAAAAATACTAGAACAAAAAGGCATTAATATCTGTATGGAGCCTTATGAGCTAAGATCCATGAGAAAGCTATTACAAATTGGTGCTGACATCATTGCTGAGGTTATCAAGCAAGATTCAAAGCTGTTCAATTTTTCAAATGGGTATTATTTAAAAAAGGTTTAACACATGCCTAGACAAGTCCAATGGTGGGTGTTTGTTAGCTATAAAGCTTTTAACAAAAAGACGGCTAACTGTGATGTGGATTGCAAATCTAGCCACAGAGATTATCAAACGTACCTTTTCTCTTTTTTCTTTTGTTTTGTGTGTGGTCACAGCTTCTTAGAGGATTCTACTTCACCAATAGATATGATAAGTTGGTGACCTTTCACTCTTAGTGAAATGCGTTTCAATCTTAAAAATCAAGAATTTTGTTTTAATCTAAAAATTAAGAACTTTTTAAAAGAGGGTACTTTAAACTTAATGGGTCTAATACCCAACAAATTTACGAATTAATCATGTTATTGAATTTCAAATATCGAATGTGAGAGGATTCCATTTGTAGACATCTCATGCGTTCCAACAAGCTTTCAAGTATAGACACGTGGAACACGTCATCCTCCAATAATGGATGAGGAAAGTACTTTTTTCTTCTGAAAAGGATGAAGATAGAGTGGGCTTAAGCTGTTGGACCACCCGAGTTTGCTGGAAGAAGAGAAGGAAGTTTAGTCCCCACACTACTTGCCACTTTCATTACTAATTTAAAGCTAAAATCTTTTACTCTCCGGTCTCCACTCCTTTTTTGTTAATAAAAGTAAGTATTTTTTCAAGAAAGGGGGTTAGGACTTTGAGGAGAAGTTGGGAGGAAAGTATTGGATATTGACCAAGGAGGCGTATCTGGTGTAAGCTCTTCTGTAAAATTTCTTATATGTGGATTTCTATGTCTCTTTCAAAAGGACTCAGTAAGTACTTTAGGATATATTTAATCTTAAAATCTAATTTCTTAATTAGCTCATGAATAAATTAATATAAATGTGAATTTTGACGAGAATATATCTTTTATATTTTTCAAAGATATAAGAACTCATTACAGATATGAAGTGCTGTGAGACATGAAACTAATATTGTACTTTTCATAATCACTTCAAAACTCAAACTGAAGTCCATCACGGGGTACTCAAAGCATATATTAACATTTCTTCAAACATGGATGGTGGATATTTACTATAGGCTTGTCTTAGATGTTGAACTTTGCAAAGTCGTATCACGACCCAAAATCTCACCTTGAGGATCGTGATAGTACTTAGTTTCTATGACTAAATAAGCCTAACACAGAACAAGATCAACAGAAAATACTAGATTAAATATTAATGAAAAGCTGAAGAGTGCCATGAATTAACCAACAGAAATACAAAAGTCACATAAATCTCAAAACAGGTACTACTGAGTCATAAGCTCTACAAGAAGTACATGATGAGCCTCAAAATACATAATTGTTTGCAATACAATAAACATTAATATGAAAACAGTAGAAGGAGACTCCGAAACCTGCGAGCGGGACATCAGGTATACCTTGAAGTCTCTTTACCAACTCAAAATCAGTCCACTAACGTTCGGCATGCTCTGAGGTACCTGGATCTGCACAAAAATGTGTAGAAGCATAGTATGAGTACACCACAACGATACCCAGTAAGTACCTGGAGTAGTGACGAGGTTCAAGTCAAGACACTCACTAGACATAAAACCTGTGTAGAATATCAATATAAAGCTAACAACGGAAAGCAAAATCAATAAATGACAAAAAAGAGTAACATGTGATAACAAAGCAAATTAACCCAAACACAGCTAAAATGCAAGTGAATCAATTAAGGAATACAATGACAGTTCAAATCCTCAAGTCATTCCAACACAAGATTTACATCAAGAATTATCCCGAGATATCACACCTCATAGTCACAAATCACAATTCACCCTTATGACGCCGCATGAGCTTCACATTTTAAAAACATTTTTTCGAAATAGCTTCACGTGTATAAGCTTCCTTATCTTGTTGTGTGTGCTTCACAATGAAATATTTTCCCATACTAGCAACACGCGCATAAACCCCCTTATCTCGCTGCATGCACATCAATGTACACACCACCTTTATTCTGCCGCATGCACATCTCATCACAACAAAATAATAACAATCACCCGCACCTCATGTACATATGTGCTACATCATCACCACAATAACAATACCAATGCCACAACAAGATAGAGCTCACGGTTCACCAACAATATGTACAAGAATCATAACAATAATATAAGGGCGCGGGGAGTGATCAATAGAATAAAAGCATGTTTCATATTACAACAGCTCTAAATCAAGGCATATTAATAGCCTAAGGTCTATTCCGGTCATAATCCACATATACACCCGTGTACACACTCGTCATCTTGTGTACACATCGTTTCACATAGTACAAATATTTCAAATTAGACCAAATCCTAAGAAAAATTTCTCCCACACAAAGTTAGGCAAGATACTTACCTCAATCAAGCTAAACCAATCCTCTAATAAGCCCTTTCCGTGTGAATCTACCTTCGGATAGCTCGAATCTAGCCACAATAACTTAATATCATAAATAAAAGTCATAGAAAATGATTCTGAATAATAAAGCTTAGATCTTTAGCTAAAATCAAAAAGTTAACCCCGGGGCCGCACCCCGGAGCTTGACCAAACTCACAAATTCTGAACATACATTTCTGATACGACCCCAACCATATCAATTTTATCTAATTCCGACTTCAAATCAGCTTTCAAATCATCAATTTATGTTTTAGAAAAGTTTTTACTAAAATCCAGGAGGAAAGGAAAAATATGGATCAGTTGAAAGAGCTACTTCTTCAAGCTGAGTGGATTCGCGCCCCTTCCTTCCTCTAATAAGAGAGAGCGAAAGACGCTATTGAAGTTATACCCACTTTGCACAAAAATTTGCAAGTCTATCCACTTTAGGATCAACTTCAAACTTGTCGGGGTTGGCGTTGAAGGAAAAAATTCGTCTGAAGTATAATGCACTTAAGGCCAATTAAGTCTAACGTGCAAATATTAGACTTAAGGCAAAATAGGTCTCAAGTGTAACAAATATTTCATGCACTTAAGGCCAAATAAGTTTGAAATACAACAATGCTTTCATGCACTTAATTAAGGCCAAATAGGTCTGAAGTACAAATTTCCCAGAAACAAAAGTTTGTTCTTCGAATTTCAACAAACACCAATTATTAATTTGTCAAAACAACAACAAATATAGCAAACTCATTTCACGAAGAAGAAGAAGAAGAAGAAGAAGAAGAAGAAGAAGAAGAAGAAGAAGAAGAAGAAGAAGAAGAAGAAGAAGAAGAAGAAGAAGAAGAAGAAGAAGAAGAAGAAGAAGAAGAAGAAGAAGAAGAAGAAGAAGAAGAAACCCTATGCGGTAACAAAGAAAAGAGCTACATCATCTCACTACTGTAAAACACTATAAATCACCTTAAAACCTGCTCACAAACACCATATAAAGTCACTGTCACCTTTATTTTCACAACGACAACGATGAAGAAGAAGTAGAAGAAGAAGAAGAAGAAGAAGAAGAAGAAAAGAAACAGGAGGAGCGGAGGAAAATGCCTCAAGTTGTCTGTACTTTGGGTGCTAATTAAACCTTTTTTAAAAAAAATGGGTACAAACATGAAAAATTTACGGTGGGTCAATGACAGGCCCAACCGTTAACTAGGCTTGAACTTAAATTGCTACCCTTATTCCATAGGAATATTTACATAAATAGCCGTCCATATTTATTTACTTTTCTTTAGCCATATATATAATTTGTATATTGATTATACACATATAATACATAAACTATACATATATTATACCTACATTGGTTATTTTTAGTTTAAGCGGTTAGGTGGACGGCTATTTGGGTTAACCCTTCTATTTCTTACTTAGTGAATTATCATCATTTAAACATGAACATAATGCTAACAAAAGAGTATGAAATTCAAATTACCAACAAACTTAATTTAACAAACGACTAGGATCATTCTAGAGCGTTGAGTATTCATTTTCGAGGCAGTTGGTTATCCTCTTATAATCAGCAAGAGTCCTAAAATCTCGGGTTTGATATGTCGTTATCTTGCTCCCTATTTTACCAACCATTAATTACTAATGTGATACTCCCTCCGTCCATAATAAGTGACTAATTTACCTTGAACACATTCATTAAGAAAATACTAAATTTTAGACAAAAATAGTTCGTGTGACTAAACTACCCTTAATTAAATATTGCAGCATAATTTAATGTTAGAAGTAAAAGACTTTTTAGGAATACATACATAAGAGTAATTTTGAAAAACATATTGAATTTTTCTTGATTATATAAATGGACACTTATCTTGGACTAAAATAAAAAGGTAAATTGATCACTTATCGTGGACCGAAGGGAATATATATTAAACTCATTACTCCCTCCAGTCCAAAATAAATGATTTTTTTGATGTTTTCACACAAATTAAGAAATTCACCTTTTAGCATTAATTAGCAATGAAATTGACCATATTAACCTTTACTATCTCACATAAACACTCCTAACATATATTCCAACACTATTTACTCCAAGGATAATGTAGGAAAAAAATAATTAATTCATTCTTGAAATCTGAAAAAATCACTTATTTTGGATTACAATAAAAAGGCCAAAAAATCACTTATTTTGGACCGGAAGGAGTATTATTTAGTGAAACAAGATCAAAACGAGTGAAAAAGAAAGCAAAAGCACGGTCCTTTTAGACCGGAATATTGAAATTAAGGGAATAAAAGAATAGTAAATGTATTTCGTGAATGTGTATGTGCAGAGTTTTTATTTTGGAATTTACCTAAACGGGTGCCTCCGTGTCCTTGGATTCACTCAATGCATACCTACTTAAACTGGACAAAGTGAAAATCAAGGAAAATAATGTAAATGAAAGGAATTGATGTGGACCTTAACGATGACTTCGAGAAAGAAGAATGAGATCCATTTAAGGCATCTCCTTACCATTTTGCAATTATTATCTCAAACTCTTTGACCATTTAAGNTATATGTTATATACAAAAATTATACAAATTTTATACACTTTTTCGGCTACAAAATGTAAATAATTTCTAACGCGTGCTAAATATGATAATACACCTTTTAACTTTATTTTACATCAACAACAACAACAAACCCAGTAGTCTCCCACAAGTGAGGCCTGGGGAGAGTAAGATGTACGCAGCCGTACCCCTATCCCTGGAAGGGTAGAGAAGCTGTTTCTGATAGACCCTCGACTAGAGAACGACTGGAAAAAAAAAAGGTAATTGCAACAAGTAGGAATAACAACAACAACAACAACAATACCAACAACAATAAGTAGGAATAACAAGCAAGATGAAATAAGATTGAATCCAAGAATACAATCAAACTCTAAGTAGTAGTAGTCATATATGGATAAAAGATAACATACTAATACTAATGCTAGTTAACTGAGTAAGATAAAGAGAAACTTTTGACTACCTATGAACCTTCTACCCTAATTTTTGACCTCCACATCCTCTTGTCTAGATCCATGTCCTCAGTCAGCTCCAAACGTGCCATGTCCCGCCTAATAACCTCTCCCCAAGATTTCTAAAGCCTACCTCTACCCCTCCTGCTACCTATCGAGGCCAACCTCTCACACCTTCTAACCAGGGCTTCTATACTTCTCCTCTTAACATGCCCGAACCATCTCAACCTCGCTTTCCACATCTTATCATCCACAGGGGCCACTCAACCTTTTCCCGAATAACTTCATTCATAATCTTATCTAACCGGTTATGGCCACACATCCACTTCAATATTCTCATCTCAGCTACTTTTAGCTTCTAGGTATGAGAGTTCTTGACCGGCCAATACTCTGCTCCATACAACATAGTTAGTCTAACTACAACCTTGTAGAACTTACCTTTAAGTCTCAGCGACACATTCTTATCACACAAGACACCGGAAGCGAGCCTCCACTTCATCCATCCTACTCTAATACGATGCGTGATATCTTCATCAATCTCCTCATTACCTTATATTATAGATTCAAGATACTTGAAACTACCTCTCGTGAGGATGACTTGCGTATCAAGCATCACCTTCATATCCCCTTCTTGGGAACCGTTGCTGAACTTGCACTCCAAGTATTCCGTCTTGGTCCTACTTAACTTGAAGCCCTTAGACTCTAGGGTCTGTCTCTAAACCTCCAGCCTCTCATTAATACCACCCCGCATCTCGTCAATGAAAACTATGTTATCAGCAAATAACATACATCATGGCAACTCACTTGGAATATGTCTCGTCAATGCGTCCATCACCAAGTAAAATAAGAATGGACTAAGAGCTAATCACTAGTGCAACCCCATCATAACTGAAAAGTGTTTTGAGTCTCCTCTTGTTGCCCTAACCCGAGTCTTAGCTTCATCATACATGTCCTTAATCACCCTAATGTAGGCTACTGGGGCCCCTTTAGCCTCCAAGCATCGCCAGAGCATCTCTCTCGGGACTTTGTCATATGATTTCTCTAGATCAATAAACACCATGTGCAAGTCCTTCTTCATCTCCCTATACCGTTCCACCAATCTCCTCACAATGTGAATGGACTCCATAGTCGACGCCCCGACATGAAACCGAATTGGTTCTTAGAAATGGACACATTGGTCCTCACCCTCACTTCAACCACCCCCTCCCAAACTTTCATAGTTATGGCTTAGCAGCTTAATCCCCATATAATTATTGCAACTTTGCCTTGTTTTTATACATAAAAATCATTGTACTCTACCTCCATTCATCGGACATCTTTTTCGTCCTAAAAATAACATTAAATGGTCTAGTGAGCCATTCCAAACCTGCCCTACCCGCATTCTTCCAAAATTCCACAGGTATTTCATCTGGCATGGTAACTCTATCCCTGTGCATCTTACGCATAGCCCCCTTGACCTCCTCTATTATTATGCGCCTACAATACCCAAAATTCCGGCGCATCTCGGAGTGCAAGTCGCCCAACACAATGTCCCTATCACCCTCCTCATTCAGGAGTTTATGGAAATATGTCTGTCATCTTCGTCTAATATGAGCCTCCTCCATCAAAACTCTACCATCCTTATCTTTGATATACTTAACTTGACCCAAATCACGGGCCTTCATCTTTCTTACCTTGGCTAGCCTGTATAGCTTCTTGTCATCGCCTTTGGCCTCAAGCTCTTCATACAAATGCCCAAATGCCTCAGTCTTAGCCGCAATAACCACTAACTTCGCCTCCTTCTTAGCCCTCCTATACCCCTCTAAGTTCATCCTCTTCGCCTCCTCATCTATGCTCTCTATAATCGTCAAGTGTGTCGCTTGCTTGGCTTCCACTTTATCTTGTACCTCCTTACTCCACCACCAGTCACCTTTGTGGCTGCTAGTGAAATCCTTCGAGACCCCTAACACTTCTCTCACAGCTACTCCAATACACTCCGCTGTCGTGGTCCACATACAGCTCGCGTCCCCACTGCTCCTCCATGCTCCCATAGCCAACAACTTCCCCCCTCCAAATCCTATGCTTTGTCACTTGTCAAAGCACCACACCTGATCTTGGGTTGACCATACACGGCCTCTTCCTTCTCTTCCTCACAATCTCTAAGTCCATTACCAATAATCTATGTTGAGTGGTGAGATTCTCGCTTGGAATAACCTTGCAATCCATGCACAGACTCATATCGCACTTCCGGAGGAGTAGATAATCAATTTGAGTCTAGGCCAACGAACTCCGGAATGTAACCAAGTGCTCCTCCCTTTTCGGAAAATACGAGTTGGCAATCACCAAATCAAAGGCTTTAGCACAGTCCAACAACGAAGTGCCTCCTCCGTTCCTAACTCCAAAGCCAAAGCCGCCATGCACACCGTCATACCCCCCAAATGTCGCCCCAATGTGACCATTGAAGTCCCATCCTATGAATAACTTCTCGGTGAGCGGAATACCACGTAGCAACCCGTCAAACTCTTCTGAGAAGCGCCTCTTAATCTCCTCGTCCAAACTTTTGAGACGCGTAAGCACTAATCACATTTAAAGTAGATCCTTCCACAACCAACTTAATAGTCATCAGCATGTCGTTCACCCTCCTAACTTCTACCACTAGTTCCCTGTCAACCAAGATACCTACCCCATTCTCCCTAATATCTGTGTCTGATTTACATCAAACACAGATATTGAAACGTGCTCTCTTTTTCCTTTTTTCTTCTTACCAAAAAGTTTATGCTACTTAAACGCACCTGTTTCATTTCATGAAGTTTACCTGTTTGTCTTCCAATTTTCTATTGTCATTTTAGTAAAACTACTTTAATTTTGCTTCCAGAATAAAATAGCTTAATATGCATTTATTCATATAAGTTACATATAGACTTAAGAATAATATAAAATATACAACAAAACTCCATCTTTGTCGTTTCAAATTAATAAATTCAACTATTCGATCAAGTCTCTTATAAATTATTGAAAAGTTAAATATATATATACAATTTGAGGAATACAATCGGGTTCCGCATGCACTTACTCCTAGGGGTGGGCATATTTCGGTCGAAACCTAATAAACCGACCAAACTGAATTTTTTTTTATTTCGATTTCGGTTATTTAGTTTGTTCGGTCGGTTTCGGTTTAAAATTTTAAAATTTCGATTTTTCGGTTCGGTTTTCGGTTATTAAGTTTTTAAGTTCAGTTAACCGAAAAATCGAATTATTAACATATATGTTCTTTAAATTATATATAGGCTAAGCCCATAAGTAATAAATTAATATTATTAGGTCCAATCTATCAAAGACTCAACACAATTAAGTAAGTCCATCAACTTTCCAATCTTAAAGACTTTCAGTCTATTAAAACTTCCATAGCATATGTGATAGATACCGGGAGAATTTCACACAGAATTGTAATTTACACTATGTTTGAATTTTATGATCCATAAAGTGTGCAAAGTTTAGTCTATTTTTTTTCTATAAACACAATATTTCCAACAATTTCGAAGTTTTGGGAAAAATCAACAAAAATCGCCGGTCGTATTATTACATAGAAGGAGTCCAATATGATAATGTTCAAACCGAAAACCGAACCGAAATTAGAATAACCGAACGGAACCGAACTGATTTCAGTTCGGTTTCGGTTACTACTTTTACAAAACCGAAAACTGAATAACCGAACCGAATTTCTTCAAACCGAACCGAATCGACCGAATGCCCACCCCTACTTACTCCATCAACAACATAATATTGAAATAAAAAATCAGAGTGGGAAGGTATAATGAAGTGGCAGATGGTGTTTGTGATTTAATTTGTTGTTTAGACGACATTGTATCTATTTCATGACCAAAACTGGAAACAACTTGGCATTAACATAACAAAACTATCTCAAAATTGAATACTTGTAGGTATATACAACAATTTATATTTTATCGTACAAACACAATTGGCTAAAACATCCTTAAAACTGACAGCCTTGCAAACAGAAATTTTGAACAAGATTAATATATGTAATGACAATGACTAGAAATCAATATTCCAGTTATTGTATTAATATACATATTAATTTACAAGCAATTAGTAGTTTTAAAAAGATATATAGAATGCTATGATGTAAGGGTCTGCCTTTGAAGAAAAGTTTAAGTGATAAAAACCAAGTTCCAACCTTATATTCTACTATAATAATGCAATTGTTGAAACCAAGGCTTGGAAGAAGGCATCCTCAGTTGTTAGTAAACACCAAAGCACTATTTGCATATCATGCGCCTTTACGGTTTTAAAATTAAGAAAATGATATTTTTAAATCTTTTATGTGTAAAAGACAGATCTCTTAAATGTAAAAATAAATTTTTTATGTGTAAAAAATTAGGTAAGATTATAAAACTAAAAATAAATTTGTAAAGAGCCACAAAACCAATTGACTATTGACACGGTCGAAGAGCGAGTTAAAAGGAAATACGTTTGATAGTAAAAATTGACAAGATTAAAACACAATGGAAGATCTTGGTTCTCCAAGACATCATTTATAACAAAAACCAATCGTAAGAAAGTTTTTCAAAAGAAAAACAAATATCTTTCTTTAGTTGGAATATTTTCTTACAATAAAGATTGAAAAACAAATTACAAAATAGAAAGAACAAAAACACAATCGCTAAGTTCTTGGAAAGTTCATGGTTATCCCAGCGATATATGCAGGAATGGAGTGGCCTGGTTAGCAGATAGTCTATTATTTTGCTGGATAATTTGCAGAATATTCAATAGGCCAACCAATCCTTGATATATCTTCTCCTCGTACTAATATATACTGTATTGTTTAAAATAAAACGTCAATTTCTCCGTCTTTTAGAACAAGGAGATGATTTTATGGTGCATTACAAATACGCTTTTGGTTATAATCTTTTTTTTTTACTGTTTCCTGTAAACAATATAAATTTATTTATAAGATCGTTTTTGTTAAGAAAGTAGTTAGTGGTTAGTTGAGTAGTTAGCCAGCTGTCCAACAGTGTAAGCACAACTATAAGTTAAGTTAGTTAGGAGTAGTATATAACCGTGTATATCCCTCATTTGTGAAGTATCAGAAATCAATGGAACAGTACAATTTCCATTTCTCTCTTTAGCTTCTTCTGAGAAATCCTCTGCAGTCATGGAGGTTCTCTCCATTTAACATGGTATCAGAGCCCGTGAAGAAGTTCGATTCATGCGAGTTGCTCGAATTTGATTTGAGTTTCTAAAATTCATCAGAAATTTGTGTAATTGCTTCGATTCATTCCTTTCTAGGTTGAATCGTCTTTGAGCAATTAGGTATCCTTTCTTCATCTTTGTACACAATTGCTTGCTGCTACTCTAAGCTCTATTTCTCTTCATCCTTCAATGGCGATCGAAGGTATTGGTGCTAGCTCAGACACAGGAGTTGAGGACATTACTACTGATGCAACTCTAGTGGCAGATCCAAGTCGCGTGGGTGGTATAGTGATTGATCAATATCATCCTTTATTTCTTCAGCCTTCTGATACTCCAAATAGTTCTCTCATCTCAATCAAACTAACTGGACATGAGAACTATGCTATGTGGAGCAGCTCTATGCGTATCAATCTATTAGGCAAGAGTAAATTAGGTTTTATTGATGGTAGATAACTAAGGACAAATTTCCTCCTACTTTACATGAATTGTGAGAAAAATGTAATGCCATAGTGTTGTCATGGATCATGAACTAAGTTAGTAATGAGCTGTTAAGTGGCATGGTGTATGCAACTAGTGCACAGAAAGTGTGGGCTGATCTTAGAGAGAGCTTTGACAAGGTTAATGGATCTAGAATTCTGTTTTTGCACAAACAAATTGCTACCTTGTCTCTGGGCATCTTCTCTGTGTCAGTATACTTTGATAAGCTAAAAGAACTTTGGGCAGAATTTGATGCATTGATGCCTTGCCCTGGATGTGGTTGTGAGGAATCAAAGAGGTATGCAGAACACTTTTGGTAACCACAGGTTGCTGCAGTTTCTGACGAGTTTAAATGAGACTTACTCACAATCTAGTAACCAGATTATGATGATGAGTCCTACTCCAACTATAAACAATACCTATTCTATGATAATAGCATAAGAAAGTAGAAGATATGTGGTTAATTTTGCTCAAATCTCTACAACAAATGAAGGAATAACTATGTTTAATGGAAAAGGAAACTCTCAAGGTTCAAGTAACTACAAGCCTAAAAGGAATAATTTGTTCTGTAACTACTGCAAATACAAAGGTTACACAAGGGACACTTGCTACAAGCTTCATGACTATCTTGCAAAATTCAAGCAAAAAAGAAAGATTGGACCTAACAATGCTACTCAATACACTGGGCCTCCAACCAATAATGGCCCTAACAGTGGAAGCTTTGAGGCTGCAGCTAACTTTGCAGGATTCAGCAAAATAATCTTGATTCAACTAGTTAAGGTGGTCAAGGAGTGATTGCAGGAGTGCATCAATTTACAGTTGATCAGTACAATCAGATCTTGCATCTCTTGGGCAAGTCCATCATTACATCTTCAAGTTAAAGTGATCCATCAAGTAATGCTATGTCAGCAGGTATAACTTCACCTTCTGTAGCTACTGAAGCTGAGGTTAGGTGGATAGTTGATATAGGTGCTTCCAATCATATGGTAAAAAGTCTCAAAATTTTAGAAGAATCTAGAAATGCTGATGAAACTAGTATTGGAAAGGTTCATCTACCTATAGGAAATATAGCAAGTGTAAAACATACAAGGTCTACAAGTGTGCTACAATGACAGAAAATTACAAATGTGTTGCACATACCAGACTTCAAATATAACCTTCTGTCTCTTTCAAAATTAACAAAGGAACTTAGATGTTTGGCTTTGTTCTATCTTGACTTCTGTCTTTTCCAGGACCTCTTCAATGGGAGAGTGAAGGGGATTGGTAAAGAAGATGAAGGCCTTTACATTTACATATCAAGTAACAAAGACCAAACAAATGGAGGAGGAAATAACAACTCAGATTCTGGAAAATCTTTTGT